TCTTTAGCTTTTTCCAACTTTGCACGCTGTTTTCTAACATCTAACGTTTTACAGTCTGATCATATGAACATCTACAGGCTGCTTCCAACTGAATTTTATTAAATTTGTCGACATTAAACTGCGCTTTTCTATATGGCATCAACTTATGTCATATATACAAATACATCTACGAACTTTGCAATCAGTTTATATATGAGGCACTCTCGATACATTTACTTAATGTTTTCGAAATTTAGGTTAAATATACAAGCAACTCCGCCAACATTTCTTTAGCTTTTTCCAACTTTGCACGCTGTTTTCTAACATCTAACGTTTTACAGTCTGATCATATGAACATCTACAGGCTGCTTCCAACTGAATTTTATTAAATTTGTCGACATTAAACTGCGCTTTTCTATATGGCATCAACTTATGTCATATATACAAATACATCTACGAACTTTGCAATCAGTTTATATATGAGGCACTCTCGATACATTTACTTAATGTTTTCGAAATTTAGGTTAAATATACAAGCAACTCCGCCAACTTCGCTTTTTCCAACTTTGCATGCTGTTTTTAAACATTTTACAGTCAGCTAAATTGAACATCTACAGGCTGCTTTCAGCTAGCTTTTATTAAATTTGCTGACTTTACAACTGCGCGTTTCTATATGCCAACAACTTAGATCATATATACAAATACATGCACCAACTTTGCAATCACTTTGCACAACATTGCAACCAAGCACGGCGTGTTAACAGCTTAAAACCCACTACGTGCCGACAGCATCACCAACTCGTTCTTGAAAATTAGAAGGAATTTGAAACTCTCAATTAATTAAAAAAATTAGACAAATTGCTGCACGATTTTTTCACTATAAATGATTGACATCACAGTAAAAGGAATGCAGAAACGTTGCCTTATATATTTTCCACGTGTGTGATGAAGCAAAAAAAAAAATAACAGCTCTTTTACTTAGGGAGTCTCACATGCAAGTACTAACCACACCGATTGCGCTTTACTTTAAACATTTGTCGGTCACCTAACCACGCAGCTGCATGGATTATTTGAAAATAAGCCGAATTGACGGCTATTTCATGTTTTTGGATGTTTTAAAATCGACATCGCTTGCACAAGTACCTTCTATAATTGAAATATGACCTCTACGTACTTGGAGTAACACTACGGTAATTTAACAGCAATTTACGAAATATTTTATTCACATTTTGGAACTTTTAATTATGGGTCTTGTTATTATTATATCATAGGTAACAATCCCGAATGAAACTACCAATTTTGCAATCGCTTTTCACAACTTTATAAGCAGTTTGTTGTCGATTTTTCGGTTGGATGTTGCGATAATCTGCTTATATATGAGGCATTCTCGATACATTTACTTAATGTTTTCGAAATTTAACTGCGGGGATGTCATGACAATGACATAGGTTAAATATACAAGTAACTCTGTGCCAACATTTCCTTCGCTTTCTCCAACTTTGCACGCTGTTTTCAAACATTTCACAGTCAGCTAATTTGAACGTATACAGGTTACTTTCTGCTGGATTTTATTAAATTTGTCATCTTTACTACTGCGCGGATCTATGTGCCAACAACTTCATATATACAAGGACATATATATAAATACATCTACCAACTTTGCAATAACATTGCACAACTTTGCAATCACTTTGAAATACTTTGCATGGTGTGTTAACAACTTAAAACCCACTGCGTGTTGACATCATCACCAACTTGTTTTTGAAAATTAGAAGGAATTCGAAGCTTTCCATTAATTAAAAGAGTTACAAAAATTGCATGATTGTCCACTATAAATGATTGACATCACAGTAAAAAGAATGCAGGAACGTTGCCTTATATTTTTCCACATGTTTGATAAAGCAAAAAGAAAAAAAATTATCAACAGCTCGTTTACTCAGAGAGTCTCCCAAGCAAGTACTAACCACGCCCGATTGTGATTTACTGTAAACATTTGTCGGACACCTAACCACACAGCTGCATGGATTATTTGAAATTAAGCCGAATTGGCAGCTATTTCATGTATTTTGTATGTTTTAAAATCGACATCGTTTGCACAAGTACCTTCTAGGATTGACCTATAACCTCTACATACTTGGAGTAACATTACGGTAATTTAATAGCAATTTACGAAGTATTTATTCACATTCTCGAACTTTTAACTATGGGACTTGTTAATATGATATAACAGGTAACAAACCCGAATGAAACTACCAACTTTGCAATCGCTTTTTACAACTTTGTAAGCTGTTTGTTGTCGATTTTTGGTTGGATGTTGTGATAATCTGCTTATATATGAGGCATTCTCGATTCATTT